ACTAGAAAGCTACAGGCAGGTGTGTTTGATTAGGGTTGGAGTTAAACTCTGTAGGACAGTGGCCCTCCAGGACTGAAGTTGCCCAGCCCTGGTCTATGGCATGTTAGTGACCTGCCGTAATGCCTAATACCCCCCCTGGACCCCATGTTGCACCCCTACCTCCCAGCACGCTGCAGGGGATGGCCTCTGTGTGTTGGGCCAGGAGTTCAGCTTTAGCAATGGCAGCCAATGACAAGTAGCTGGACATGTTTCTGCTCAGCTCTTGGTTCCCCTGCTGCAAGAACCGCACTGCCACAGGGACCGCTAATGCCATCACTGGAGGCCTGTTGTAATTCTGGAAAAAAAACAAATCAACCCAACTTTAGACCTGCATTTAGTTACGACCAATGCAAACATTGAAGCCAGAATTGAGACGCTAAATTAGAAGTTTCATTCAAATAAAGCAAAATCAATGTACCAGCGTGTGCTAATTCTGCGTGCCAATAAAGATTTTAATAGATTCAGGGAGTGATCACATACGGGTTAGCTGGCTGCTTAGTTAATTTAATAAAAATTATAAAAATAACAAGAGATACTATGTAAGGCATGAAAAGCAGCAGTAAACATTGCAAACAATTGAAAATGAACTGAACACAGAAAGTATGTGAAATGTTCTGCTGCCCTCTAGTGTAGAAGATGTGAACATGTCAGATCGAAACCGGTAGAAAATCAGATGGATATTGAAAGAAATGGCAAGTTATTTTATCACTACACTACTACACAGCAATTACATTTGATATATGTGGTATATGTTCAAAGTAAAATAATTCAAATTTATGTTTAAATCTTAACAGTTTGAGTGCCATAATTAGTGAATTTTTCAAAAAATATTCATGAATCTAATTACTGTACATAATAGACATGGTATGAGTATGAATTTCATTTCTTCTGTAGCAAATGAAAAGATTTTCCTTTACTGTAAAAAGAATGGCCAATTATTACATTCTTGCCTGAAGGGAAAGGGTCCTTGAATATCGGAACTAAAACTTTAAAAGGCATGACGTAGGGCAAATAACTACCAAAGAACCCAAGCTAATTATAAAACACCCACTTGAATATGTGACTGCTGCTCAGATCAAAGAGCCCTTCCACAAATAGTTCTGAAGAACTCCGGCATAAGACTGTTCAAGCTGCAGTTCTCTAATGAATACTGATCTCCACCACTACCCAGAATGCATCACTCTAGCTCAGCCTCTCTCTAAGCTCTGCTCTAAGATTCATATGCGGCTTATTATGTAAGTGAATGTGCGTGTGAGAGAGAGAGAGAGAGAGAGAGAGAGAGAGAGAAAAAGAGGAGAGAGGAGTCAATGAGTGGAAGGATGTGGGAAATCCACTGGAAGGAGAGTGAAGCAAATATCCAAAGAAGCAGGAGAAACTGTGTCATGCCTGTGAAAAAATCTTTTTGAAACAGAAATAATTAAAAAGAGATTATGGCTAATTGTTGTTGTCAGGCTTGTCAGTTCCATTTTGAGACATGCCACTTAAGACTCCCTGAGAATGAGTACAATTATTGCTTTAGAACTGACAAATATGGACCCTTTCCACATTTCTGGGGCTCTCAAAAGTGAAAGTCTTCATAATTGTAGTCTTAGCCTCAGACATCAGAATGACTGATGCATAAGACACACGAAATGAGAAACACTTCGGGAGTTTTGAAGCCATCGTCTGATTGGTTGATTTTTACAGGATTTTCTAGGAGAAATTAATGTCAATGAGCCTGTTTAGTAAAGACATCACACATTTTTCTTTTTATGTTTATGGTTGTGCTGCACTTTTTGGACCAACTGTACCCTGACTATTACCGTGAGGAATCTGCTGTCATGTGTATAGGCTAAATGCAGGGAAATCATTAAGGGTCATTTGTGTGCTCTGGCCCTTAAGTGTTGCTCCTACCTGCAAGATGCAGCTGGTGATGTCAGAGGCGATCTTGGCATGGGGTGTGTCTTCATCTTTGCCCTGCGGCTGGAGGTTATGCTCGAGACACGACTCCCATAATGACACGAGAGCTGCTCCGTGCCTCTCGATCGAACCCGTTTCCCTAATGGCTGTAGTGATGCGCGTGATGCAGATCTCCACCACCGCTTGGTCGTTGTCATTGGTCAAGTAGTCCTGCAACCAATCATAAATCACATAACTGAATGAAAGAGATGTGCATTTAAGTCTTGCAAATTTTCATGTACTTAAGAAATCGGTGCCATATATTGTGTGAGAGCAGAAATCACACACAATCAAATGGTAGAAATGTTGTTATACTATTTATACTGAGGTATATCTATGACTTAATTAAAACAAATATGGCACCAAAAAGAAAACTATAGTCTACTCCGCAAACTGCTTTGATTATAATGAGAGCAATTTAGTTTGACCACACCGTGTGTAAATGCCAAGCTGATGTGCAGTCACAGCTTCACAGATGTTCATATATTGGTTATTTTGCAATACATTGCATTTGTATTACTGTTTTAAATCTTTCGTTTTTACCTCTTTATTATACAACATGGAGTTGTTTAGCACTGATGCCAGATTTATCATTCATTTACTATAAATCTTATGTTTTGGTTTGCATCCACCCTGTTTAAATAAAAGAGAGAGAAAAAAAAAAGTTTATTTCATTTCTGAAATATCAAAATCTAGTGAATAGGTCTTCTTACATGGTTATGTAATATATAAAACATATATGGACTGACATCCATCCATTGACTATTAAGCTACAGAGTATTTACATGCAAACAGCTTTATTTAGATTTCTGAAAGCATGAAGTATCTTTAAACTTGAAAGTTTGGTAGCAAATATTTTCATCTTTGTGGTGTGGCATGTTCAGAATGATAATGTTATGCAAGTGACTGTGGAAAGGAGGACACTGTAGGCCCTGGAGAGAGAAATACAAGAGAAGAGAGAATGAGACTAAGAGAGAATGAGAGAAGGCTACCCCTGAGACGCTGGATGAGCCCAAATCTGTTTACAAAAGCCAGCCAGAACAAAGAAGCCCAACGAGGCAAGAGGAACTGGCTTTATCACGCTCAGTGACACCAACATTCCTTTCGAACTTCTCTCATTTAAATATAAAATATGCTAAGTGTGGAAATGAGGGGTCACCTTATTCAAATTATTCAGATATGCAGTGCTGACAGGGTCAGTGTTCAGCCAGAACAAGCCATATGCTCTCTAACTTCACTTTAACAGCATCAACTAGGCATGTGATCAGCTAAGGAGAAAAAAGAAGGAAAACCCATTCAATATGACTATATAATAATAACCATTTATTATTATTTTTATTATATTTTCAGATAAAGATAAATAAATATATTATGGTTGCAACCATTGTACAGTAAAATAAAGAAATAAAAAAAAAATTATTATGTAAGTAATTATGTAAATAATTCATTTTACAGAAGAATTAAGTTTTATATTTTGTCAGTAAACCATAGACCCTAAAAGTTTTTCTTTTCTTGACAACAGATTTATAATAGATCCTCATTACAAATCTGGGAACATGCATGCTTATTATGAGTAGGGCTGGGCAATAAACAATATCATATCGAGATTGCAATAAAATTTGATTATTACTTTTTAACTCGATGTGGATTAATCTAACAGACTGTCGTACAACAGAAATAACTGCAATAACAGCCAGTCAGTGCATGTCCATTATAAGTCTGCATGTTCTGCATGTCTCTCTGTGAATGAGTGGTACTATTACACAAACTCAAACACATGTAACGCTCATGGTTCCGTCTTTATGTATGAGGACAGTCCATATGAAATTGCTCTGAGCTACTCAGATTCACTTCACAATTTTCTCACCATTTCATTTGAGAAAAACTACAAATACACACTGAAACTCAAAAGATCTTTGCGACAAACTGCCAAAATAAAAGTTTAACTCAAAAAAATGATGACAGAAATATATTATTGTATATTAAAATGTTCTTTTATCACACATTGCTGTTGATAGAATTCATTTAAAAAAATTACCAGCCAACCATTTCATATACTCACCAGTGCTAATTTTCAGTCACTTAGCAAGTGTTTATTTTGTATTAGGCTACTTACATTAACTGTAATGTACAATATGCTGATAAGCGTAACAGTGTCCTGACGGACTCATGGTTGAATTTTGAGTTGAATGCTGTGCTTTAAATTTTCATATTACCACAATACAAAAACAAATTCATTTATTTTAGTTTAACTTTTTATTTACTTTAGTTTCTTGAATTCACTTTTTACATGTAGAGCTGCATGATTCTGGATAAATGTAGAATCACATTAAAAACAACAACAACAAAAATAATAATAATGATTAAAAAAAAAATAGAGATCACGATTCTTCAGTTTCAGTGTGATCATGCTTATCAAATTGACAGTCAAATCATTGTCATTTAGGAATAAGATAATGTGGGTATTTGAATCGAGATTGCAATTATTTAAAGCTGCAGTCCGTAACTTTTTTTGGTTAAAAATGATCCAAAATCAATATTTGAGCAAGTACATAACCAGCCAGTGTTCAAAACTGACTGTGGAAAGGAGGACACTGTAGGCCCTGGAGAGAGAAATACAAGAGAAGAGAGAATGAGACTAAGAGAGAATGAGAGAAGGCTACCCCTGAGACGCTGGATGAGCCCAAATCTGTTTACAAAAGCCAGCCAGAACAAAGAAGCCCAACGAGGCAAGAGGAACTGGCTTTATCACGCTCAGTGACACCAACATTCCTTTCGAACTTCTCTCATTTAAATATAAAATATGCTAAGTGTGGAAATGAGGGGTCACCTTATTCAAATTATTCAGATATGCAGTGCTGACAGGGTCAGTGTTCAGCCAGAACAAGCCATATGCTCTCTAACTTCACTTTAACAGCATCAACTAGGCATGTGATCAGCTAAGGAGAAAAAAGAAGGAAAACCCATTCAATATGACTATATAATAATAACCATTTATTATTATTTTTATTATATTTTCAGATAAAGATAAATAAATATATTATGGTTGCAACCATTGTACAGTAAAATAAAGAAATAAAAAAAAAATTATTATGTAAGTAATTATGTAAATAATTCATTTTACAGAAGAATTAAGTTTTATATTTTGTCAGTAAACCATAGACCCTAAAAGTTTTTCTTTTCTTGACAACAGATTTATAATAGATCCTCATTACAAATCTGGGAACATGCATGCTTATTATGAGTAGGGCTGGGCAATAAACAATATCATATCGAGATTGCAATAAAATTTGATTATTACTTTTTAACTCGATGTGGATTAATCTAACAGACTGTCGTACAACAGAAATAACTGCAATAACAGCCAGTCAGTGCATGTCCATTATAAGTCTGCATGTTCTGCATGTCTCTCTGTGAATGAGTGGTACTATTACACAAACTCAAACACATGTAACGCTCATGGTTCCGTCTTTATGTATGAGGACAGTCCATATGAAATTGCTCTGAGCTACTCAGATTCACTTCACAATTTTCTCACCATTTCATTTGAGAAAAACTACAAATACACACTGAAACTCAAAAGATCTTTGCGACAAACTGCCAAAATAAAAGTTTAACTCAAAAAAATGATGACAGAAATATATTATTGTATATTAAAATGTTCTTTTATCACACATTGCTGTTGATAGAATTCATTTAAAAAAATTACCAGCCAACCATTTCATATACTCACCAGTGCTAATTTTCAGTCACTTAGCAAGTGTTTATTTTGTATTAGGCTACTTACATTAACTGTAATGTACAATATGCTGATAAGCGTAACAGTGTCCTGACGGACTCATGGTTGAATTTTGAGTTGAATGCTGTGCTTTAAATTTTAATATTACCACAATACAAAAACAAATTCATTTATTTTAGTTTAACTTTTTATTTACTTTAGTTTCTTGAATTCACTTTTTACATGTAGAGCTGCATGATTCTGGATAAATGTAGAATCACATTAAAAACAACAACAACAAAAATAATAATAATGATTAAAAAAAAAATAGAGATCACGATTCTTCAGTTTCAGTGTGATCATGCTTATCAAATTGACAGTCAAATCATTGTCATTTAGGAATAAGATAATGTGGGTATTTGAATCGAGATTGCAATTATTTAAAGCTGCAGTCCGTAACTTTTTTTGGTTAAAAATGATCCAAAATCAATATTTGAGCAAGTACATAACCAGCCAGTGTTCAAAACTATTGCCTTACTTTTGCCTGATTCACAACGGTTATCTTATAATAATGTTTTCTAATTTGAGT